GCTTGCTCTTGAAAGATGGCTCAGTACCCTGTTTATTTGGACGAGCTGGCTCCACTGAATCACAAGTATGATAAATAATAGATGTTTATATTTTCTATCGAGGCGTTCAAAATATGGAACTATGGCAATGGGCGTATCTTTTCCGACATGCGCTGTACACAGTAGACAAATCACAACAGACTAGGCCATCTGACCAATCAGAGCAGAGCAGGCTCAAGGAAAGGAGGGGTTTAGATAGACTGAATCTTAGAACTGCTTTGAACGAATCGTTTGAGAATCGCTGGAAAATGGGTTGATGCATATTTTGAGAAAACGAAAGCGTCTTTTGACCTTGCATGCATGTAATCCTATTGCAGGAGACTCCCAAAACAATATTAGGAACCTTAAAAATGGCATAATAGGGGCACTTTAAAATGGTCACATTAAACTCCTAATTTGCTGCCTATTAATAGTTAGTAAGGTAGTTAAGTTTAGGTATGGGGTTGTGGTAACACTTTAGTTGAATGTGCAATAGGTGATTGTCTTCAGAAACATTTTTTGTTATGCTGGTTGAAAGTCTCTTCACATCCCGTTAGCAATCATTATGTTAAGTGGTCTAAATGTATTTTTATGTATTTTTATATTCTGTGGAAGGCGTGGAAATGTTAGTCCAATCAAAACGCTCATTTCAAGCGTTACAAATATGTATTTGCATACCTCTGCGCACCCTGTTCGTGCAGACAGGATACGTCATCAGCTCGTTCACGCACGCTGTGCAGACAGAGCGAGAATGGCAGGCAAACATCAACAACCTGATCTTCCTTCCTGGTATTGTAGTACTTTTACTAAGTGTACTATAAAGTTTTCTCAACCGGTGAATGACACATGATGTATTGTAGTAATGTTGTCTCTGGTCGTCTGATCTGTTCGCGTTCATGCGTTCAGGAGGCGTGGCTTTGGACGGCGATTTGCAGGGAGGGTGGGACGTTCGTTTTCAGTGCTATCAGGCTAAAGTTAGCATTTTCCAAGATCTCCTACTGCACCTTTAATTTGCAGGGAGGGTGGGACGTTCGCTTTCAGTGCTATCAGGCTAAAGTTAGCATTTTCCTAGATCTCCTACTGCACCTTTAATAGTGAGAAAATGTATGGATATATATACACACTCACACAGGCACCTGAATGTTTGCTGGCAGGTGCATTGGACATCGAGAATATTTCAAAGAATGAAGAAAAAAATGGCTGATGAAGGTCACAGACATGACAGGCTGTTTCCATAAACGTTTCATATTTCTTGCAATTTACTGCAACGTGCAGGATTTTTCTCCCTTCTAAACCATTTCTTAAATGTTGTACTGCAACATGACCTAACTGCAACCAAAATGCAACATTGTGAAATGTTGTTGAAATGTTTTGTGCTTGCTGGGATGCTAGCCACAATATCATTCAATTTGATGTAATATTTAATGACAACATACAAACTGACCCTGTTTACTTTCTTAACCCTTCTGCTGTGCTGAAAATCCTTTACCTAATTTGGTGTTGCTGGTCAAAAATGACCAGCCATTTATTCTCTGTTTTTGAGTGAAAACACAAAAAACAAGTGATCAATCCGTTACGAAAAAAAAAAAAAAAATCTGTGATAATTGAAAGAAAACAAGTCAAAAATCCGAATCCAATAGTTGGTAGTAATATAGCATAACAAGAAATTTATGAGCACTTTTTTGTAGGCTGGTCATTTTTGACTGGGAACACCACAAGTGTATCAAGGTTCGGAAAAAAAAAAATCCAAAAACAACTTCTCAAAACAATATTTATGAGAAGTTGTTTGAACAAAATCAGTAGTTTTTAGTCCAGTGCAATAACATTGTAACATTTGTTTGCATATTCTGAAATTCATTTCCATTCTTTTGACGTAATCAAAACCATGTGGAAATAAAAGAACCAATGAACCAATAAGATCAAGCCTAAGTTTTCTCTTTTCTTGATAAGGCTTTGTTCTGTACCTGAGCTCAAATCAATCTACAAACCAAAGAAAGCTGTAATAGAATCTTGACAATTCTGTTTTGCAGGCAGACCATTTGATATTTAAGGTGAGTGGAAACAGAAGCTGAATGCTGTAAGATTGAATGCTTGATGAGAGGGATGTCAATAATGAAATCCCTGCCTTTGGAGGAAACTCATTATTTCAGGGATAGTTTAAATAAAAGAGCATCAGCGTGAGTGAATTTGGTTTTCATTTTCTGGTTGTTTACTGCAACAGAGAGGGGAAAATGCCGGTGGTATTATAGGCTTAATAAATATTCTGCATGTGCATTTGCTTCAAGATAATTTGTCAAGAAATTCGGGGCAAATTTTGCACAAGTCAAAGTGGAAATGGCTGGTGTGTACGTGTGTCCTTATGAAGTCTTTATGTTGTGAAGGCTGTTTCTGAATATCCGCAATGCACAGTGATCGTCTTCTGAAGAGACCTTGGCCACTGACATGCGTAGTGTCGAAATGAAATTAGCAAATCTTTCAAAGCGATCTTGTCATGGCAGAATTGCTTTGGAAAGGAGAAAAGGTGATGAAGTTCTGACAAAGTGTCATTTTCCTGCTGCATACAAGCTTGTTTCAAGCCTCTAGGCTGTTCAGTATAAACATTTAAACAACAGAAAGCTTGACTGAAGGGAAACAGCAGCTAGAAACAAAGCCCTCTACATCTTTTCCCTTATTCAGCGTCATCCTCCTGGGAAACTGGGAGTGCATTCTTGTGTTGTGAATAAAATAGCAAAGTGGCAACACGACCGTATGATAGAGACATTGATAGAAAGATTGAAAAGGGGGGAGGCGGAGGGGTTAGAGGAAAGCAAAGGAGATGCAAGCCTTGTTTTCTTCTGAAAAGCTCCAGCGTTATGAACCCATTTATGTGCACAAAAGACTGAGCTCTATTGTTCTGGCCATACGTGCTGAAAAAAGGTGCTCAATCCAAGCCCAGCCAATCATAACATGGATAATTTTACCCATAAAACCCATAAAAAAATATTTTGCTCTCCGTTCATCAGAGATCTTTCTCTCGGTAACACAAAAAGCTCTCAACACAGAGCTCTGCTGCGAAGCATTTTGAGTGGTCTTTTACAGATTGCAGGGTTTTCGCCTTAAAGATCCAGTAAATTTGGAGTTTTGTGGCTTTTAGTACAGATCTGTCAAGTTTCAACAAACCTTTAGTAGATACAGTATACTTTAAATTGACACTCTTTCACTTACAAGAAAATGGACCAAAACTATTGCGTTTTAGTGCCATGTTAAAAATCTAAGATTAGAAATGTAGTCATAATGTGTTGAGAATAATGTTTTATATAAGTAATGTTTTGAGGCCCTTTTATGAGAAAAAAGCCATGACGTTTCATATAATAATAAAGGTGTAACATTAACTTGGATGTAAAAATGAATGTCAAATGAACATCAAATGAACATATTCTGAGATATTTTGAAGTTCCAATTTTATTTTCACAATTTTATGATTTTACATTTGTAATCTTGATGCAAAATGTACAACTAATTTTGTAGCGTGTTTAAATGCACTAAATAACAATGTAATTACATTGTTACATATACATATATAATTACATATGATTACATATATACAGTTAAGATCAATATTAAATATTATACACAAATGTTGAAATTTGGTTTTGGTTTGGTTTTTGTAATAAAGATCTATCTATCTATCTATCTATCTATCTATCTATCTATCCATCCATCCATCCATCCATCCATCATATGGTTTCTGAAACGTTTTTAGAACAATAAACAACAGGAATTAAGTGTTTTTTTCTAAATTGCTTTAATGTGGTTAAAAAAACATTATTTTCCACATACTGTACATTATTGTTTCTCCTCTATGCCCCGCCTTTCGCCTTTGCGTCGATA